CTGGCAGCTAGACTGCTGGCAGCAGGAGGAGGAGGCTCCAGAGCAGACGGGCACACAGCACAGGGGCTTGCAGCACACGGGCTTGCAGCAGAGGGACACACAGCAGGACGGCTGGCAGGGGGAGCAGCTGCAGCAATCAGACTGGCAGCTAGACTGCTGGCAGCAGGAGGGGGTGCAGGAGCTGGTGCAGACTGATTGGCAGCAGGGGCTGGACACACAGCTCACTGGGGTGCAGAGGAGGGTCAGGCAGGGGGCTGGGGCGCAGCAGCTGGGCTGGCAGCAGCTGGGGGCGCAGCACGGGGGCTCACAGCAGCTCTCCTGGCAGTCGTCCACCTGCCAGGAGGAGTCGGGGCCCAGGCTGGGTGAGCAGACCCTGGTGCCTCCGCCCCGGTGGCTGCAGCAGATGGACATGGTGGACGCAGCAAGGACACAGGCTCTGGTGCGGCAGGTGTGCGCCATGCTGAGGCCCAGCTGGGGTGTGGGAGCTCTGGGCGGGTTTTATACTCGCGGAGTGTTTCCTGCAGGAGTCGCACGGCCTCCCTTTCCTTGTTGGTGTCGGGGTTTGTGTCAACAACAGCTGACAACAGTTCACTGTGGGCATGGCCTGGGGCAGCGCCAGGTCCGAGTGTGGCTGGTGCTGGCGGTCACTGGCGGGAGTGTTCCTGCTGTGAAAGCCGGTGTCACCGCGCGTGCCTGGGCTGGCTGAGGTTGGGTGCTGGGGAGTCGGGTCTGGGAATCACGGCTTCTCCTCTGCCCTGTCTGTCCTTTGGTGTGACTTTTCACTTTGTGGTGCTTGCACTTGCTGTGCCACCCCAGCCTACGGCTCTTCCAGGGGACGAGGGTGCCCTGGCCAGGAGCGTCTCTGTGCTCTCCTGCTGGTCTGTCTGCGAGCTCTGGGGTGGCCAGCTCCACTGCTGCACGTCCACCCCAACACCTCCTGCTTCTCCCACTTACTGAAGGGCCTGTGCCGTCTGCCTGTCCTTGAGTTTCCATTCTTGATATGATCCGGCTTCCTCCTCTGTTCGCCATGAGCCTCGGGGGGAGTCCCCGTCCCCACCCCTGGATGGCAGCGCTGCCTTGGTGCTGGTCACCTCAGAGCTTGGCATCCGTGGGACTTCCAGGTGAAAGTTGGTCGTGACCAGGGTCAGCGGGGGCTCAGTGTCCTCCCTCGTGGGCGGCTCGGCTCTGGTTTGCCTTCCCTTCCTGGAGGGGACAGTGGTGGCTTCTGTGGTTTGCTTGTTCTCCTGTGCACCTGTCACTAAACCCTCTGCACACTCCTCGGCGGAGAGGTGCGCACACACCCGGGGGGCGGCCAGCTGCACTTGTCTCTGTGGGCTGTTCCCGTGGCCTGGGCGCAGGCATCCCCTGGAGCTCCCCACCCTGTCCTGTGGGATCCTCTGCGTCCCTCTCCAGTGGGGGACAGTTAATTCCTGAAGGCCTCGTCTTCTTCTCTCTGGACTCATGCCCCTGATTTAGTGGAGCACGTCCTCCCGCAGCTTTGTCAACATGGGTGTCATGCTGTGCACACAGCGACGTGTGTCTGAGCAGTAGCATGACCTTCAACGCCTTTTTCTGCCCTTGTGCTCGGTGGATAGTCCAGCTGGGTATGATCTGGGGCTTGGGGAGGCTCTGTCTCTGAGTGTCTGGTTGAGGTTGCAGAACTTTCTGAGGATCCTGAGTGATGAGTTCCAACCTTCCTCCTCCAAGAAGCACTTGCTGTTCCTCCTTCTCTGCCCCTGGCCAGCGTGGCCTGGTCCGCCTGGCCCTCTGTCTTCAGCTCTTCCCTCCAGGACTGCCTGGGAAGCCCCCTGGCTGTGACATCACGGTCACCCCTTTTGTCCTGTGTTGTGAACTGTGACAGTGCAGCCTGCTGCGTGTTCTCTGTCCATTATCTTCCAAAGTCGGGGACCTGGGTCCTTCCAGGTTTTGGCTGGGAGTGATCCCGCCACCCAAGATGCTCCTGGTGTTTTCCGGTGAGTGCAGTTACTCATCTCTCCACCAGACACCCTGCCGCCCCTGACTTCTAGAGAAGTCTAAGCCCCTCCCACCTCCATGAGTCCCACTAAACTCTGCTTCTACAAATGAGGGAAAGTGTGTGGGGAGGCTTCCTTTTGTGTCATCTGCATGTTGGTGAGTGAAACTGGTCACTGTCCCTCTGGGCACGTGTTCTTGAGAGGGGCTGCTTCCTCAAAACAGTCATTCATGTTCCTGTGGACGTGTGGATGTGTGTTGTCCGTCTGACTCCGGGGTCCCGCTGTGTTGGAGGACAGTGGGGTGGTGACCCTTTAGGAACTGTCCTTCAGCAAAGCCAAGATGGACACGTTCATTTCCAGCTGTGCTGGTCAGCTCTCCTGCCACTGTGACCCAAAGGCCCGACGAGGACAACTTTAGAGGAGGAAATGGTTATTGGGGCTCGTGGTTTCCGAGGCCTCCGAGCACGGCCAGCTGACCACTCCTCGGGGCTTGAGGGGAGGCAGGACACTGGGCAGGAGAGCAGCTGGGGAAGGGGCTCCACTCACCAAATACACAGCCCCGGGCAGGCCCGGGGACCCTCCTCCAGCCACACCCCTGCCTGCGGCTGCCACCCATCGTCCCTGTCAGAGCACCATCGCGGGGGTTGGCTCACGGCTCCCATACCCAGTCGATGCCCTTAAACTTTCTTGCGATATCTCCCACATGAGCTGAACCGTACCATCCGCCCGGCCCCCAAAGCTGACCTCCTCTCGCCGTGTGGCCCCCAAAGCTGACCTCCTCTCGCCGTGCACAACACCTTCAGTCCTTTTGCCAGAGTCCCCGGGGGCCAGCAGTTCCAGATTTCCCGAGAGCACAAGTCCAGACTGTCTTCTGGGGTTCAGGGCAACCTCTCAGCCTGGGCCCTGCAAGGACCAAAGGTGAGCCGCGGGTCTGCTGTGCAGGACGGTGCGCAGGGGACACTCCCCAGCCACAGGGAGCAGGGCCTCCAAGGACGGGGCGGGCCAGTGCCGCCAGAACCCAGCTGGGCAGGCAGTCCTGCGGCTGCACGCCGGGCACCTGGGCACAGGGCAGGGTGGCGTTAGCCCCGTCCTGTGTGCTTGTGGTGGCAGCCACGTGGCCTCTGCTGGCTTCTCTGCCTGTCCCCGGGCTTCCCCAGAAGAGGCCCCTGCTGCTGGCACTTCTTGACTTCAGTGGTCTCCGCCGAAGCTGGGTGTGGTCCCCCGTGCATCGATGGACGGCACAGTCCTCCCCCCGTGCTCGGGTGCCCCCCGCCGGCCCTCACCCAGGGCTGGGGTTCACGTCTGGTGCCTATTCTGCTTCATGCTCCGCGCGTCCCTCGGATCATCGTAGCGTCACCTGTGGTGCCACAGGCTGGGGCTCTGGACCTCGGGAGACAGGGAATACTGGGTTCCACGGGGTTTTAGGATCTGGGCAAGGCTGGCAGACGCTCTCCCACGGAGCTACACCCGGCTTCACCCTTGGCAGAGTCTTTACAAGAAAGGAAAACCACGTTTTCCTATTTTTCTTAAAGTAAGATTGGAGCTCAGGGACTGCCCAGCTGTGGGTTGCCTGGGCAACGTGGACTCCCACCGGTGCTGACCGTCCCGTTTGAGTTTGCTGTTTCCCTTTCTGTTCTTCTGTGTCTTCAGGTCCCTTCACCCGTCAGTGCCACATCTTCCATTTCCTTGGGTAAACTTATCCTTGAGATTTTTTTCTTTTGTGGTGCTGGGGATTGAACCCAGGGCCTGGGCACGCAGGCCAGCACTCACCAATGCCACATCCCAGCCCTCCTAAGTATTTTTTTGCTGTCGTGGGGACTATTGATTCTGCTTTTGGATGGTTTTATTGGGAGTGTGCAGAAATGCCTCAGGTCTCTGAATGTTGATTTCAGGACCTGTATCCTCACTGGCTTTGCTCATGAGCTATGGCAGGTGTGTGTGTGTGTGTGTGTGCGCACGCGCATGTGTGCATGTGTGGGGTGCCCTCGGTGGTGCTGGGGCAGAGCCCAGGGCCTGGCAAGCGCTCTCCCACGGAGCTACACCCGGCTTCGTGAGGTTTTGGTGGAGTCTTTACAGGAAAAGAAACGTTCCGTCTTCCTGATGGTTTAGATGCAGGTTCCCCCACAGCGAGCTGACGGTGACCACAGGTTAGAGAGGCAGCTCCCCACGACACGTGGAGTTCCTTCCAGGGAGGTGGCCGTGCACACCGTAGGAATGGCCAGGTGGGTCGCACCTTATTCACATAGGTGCACATGAAGCATCTAACCACCCAACGTCACTCCTGCTGAAGACTTTAACGAAGTCCGTGTGCAAGGAAGATCCTCAGCCTTTCAGAGGCAGCTGCAACCACTCACAGCCGGCCTCAGGACAAGCCAACAGCTGTCCCTGTGGGGCCAGGAGAGGGCGGGAGGCCTCACCACGTCTGTCCCCCAGCGCTGGGACTCCTGGCCGAGCCGTGAGACAGGAGGGGACAGGGGCGTCCACTCAGGGTGGAAGCGAAAGGGGCTGTTTGTCGCCCTCACGTTCACACTGGGCGCTGAGCTCCCCGTGGTCAGCCCCTGTGCATCTGAGTGGACGTCGGGGCTTTCTTTCCTGAACAAATGCCCAGGTCGGTCACTGTCTTCCTGATGGCAGCGGTGTCCTGATGGCGGTGAAGTGACAGCCCAGGTGGAGCCTCGGGTCCTGGCCTGCCCTCGCTCCTGCTCCTCTTTGTGGTCATCTCAGTGGCCGTAGGTTCCTGGGAACCTTCTCACCTAAAATCCCAGTTGTGTTGGCGTAAAGACACGATTCTTTCTCATGATCAGACATTTTTGTCTATTTACAGACTATGATAGTTTTGATATTTTGTTACTATTCATTTTCATATATTTAATTTTATTTGCTCTATTTCTCTAAGATTTTCCCTTGTTCTGATTTTGGTAGGATTTTAAAAGTGCAGTCTCTGGTTTTATGCATCTTTCTTTCCATTTGTCAATGTCTCTTGGCGCCTCCTGGACCTTCTCCCCCATCTCTAACTCCGTCCTGTTTGCTCGCTGGTCTCTGTGCGTCTTCAGGACCCACTGCAGCCCAGCTGCTGAGCGCAGACCCCATTCATCCCAATTCTGAGCCACGATGATTTCATTCCCCTCAACCCGGAGCCCCGCCCAGCTCCTGGTCAGGAGCCTGCTGGGCGACCTGGGCTGCGGCTCCCGTGGCACCTGCACCTCCCTAGATGGTGTTCCCACGTTTCAGCCACAGGAAGACAGAACCGGGATGCCCTGCGCAGGGTGCTCCTGCCAGCCAGCTTTGCCCGTCTCCACCCTTGTGGCCCCGAGCCCTGGAGGGCACCGCCCAGCCGGGTGGTCACCCACGGCTGTTCTGATAGTCATACAGACGTCCATGGCGTTGACCGAGCTCTGGGTGGGTGTCGTGACCTTTGAACAGGCCTCACTCTGTCTCCATCTGCGACACCTGGTGCTGAGATGTGCCCAGCGGATGCCTGCCCAG